CGAATTGGGCTTTGGAGGGAGTATTTTGCATAGGTACAGCTATCAAGCCTTCCTCCCACCTAAGATACGTGTTGGGGATTGAGTTGGGCCGAATATTCCTTGCCAATTGTGCAGGGCAGTTGGAGCGTCCAGGCGGCACTTTTCCTCACCTGTCACCGACACGCCTCATTGGATCGCATGTCCAAGTGCATCAGTGTAAGCATGCCGTGGGTGCATTCATTACAGCATATTAGCAACCATGTTTCGCAGAGTTGAAAAGAATTGAACTGCGAGATATGATTGTTCTGACAGTCTCAATTTCTACTCAAACTTCGGAAATTGCAGTTGCATTTGCACGGAGGAGATTTAGCTTCCATTTTTGTTTGCAATTCAGTGGCCGTGGGCTGAGCCCATGTCATATCGCAGAATGCTACATATGCAGTTCCCTGATATTATGCGTCAAACCACTGGAGGTCACCGCAAGATGATGTGCAATCTTGAGGATGCTGCTGTTGTCAGCTGCAAATCTGGTCCAAGGAAACTGCCTTCCACCTTTATTGTCGTGAGATCTCACAACCTTAGTCCCGTGTTAGATGATATGCACGAAATGCATCAGCAACGAACGCGAGGCATTCCATTTCACGTTGGGTATCGTGGAATGCCAAGTACAAGGCAAATGTAGTGGAGAGGTAGAGAGTAATTTGAAGTATCAAAATAAGTGATAGCGATTGGGGCATGGAAGGCCACCAGTGGGGGGTAGTGACAAGGCGGTGAGAATTGGAGTGATGGCAGGGTTTGAAGTGATGGCGTAAACTCTGTAGGCAGAAGGTGAATTGAATGGGAGAGAATGACATCGCCAGCTAGGGAAGTGGGGACGCATACATATTGTTGGAGCTAATGACAAACTCAACGCAACATCACAAGTGTAACCACTGCTTAGTCAGAAGGGACACGTCGACAAACCTCATATGATGTCAGCACTTTCGCAAAATGATATGGAATCGCGTCAATTGAGTGATGAGACCTTGTAGTGCAAGAAGGAAACCAATTTGTGGGCATTAGAAATCATCACATTTCTACCTCCATGTGGTTTGTGCATTGAAGTTGTGAAACAGAATGCACTCGAATGTCTACGAAGCCGTAGTGATGGAATCGCTTCTCAAAGTGGTTTCATGCGACAAGCATAACTGAGAGCGAAACTACTCTCAGAGCTTCAGCGTGTGGTCTACTCTCTGCATTATGGATACTGAGGGGATGCGCACCTGTGAAAAAGCCTTCTCTTGTAGCCTCGTTGTAGAGTACGCTTATCGACGGAAGGAGCAACGGACTACTTGGTTGCATGCATTCTTCTCAAAATCCGATTCACCTACACCTTTGCACGCACCCACCGCCTTTACCGCTGTCGCGGGGAATGACGAAGGTATGGCGAATAAGAGCACGGACTTCTTCCCCATGCCCGAACATCTGGAAGGTTTGGCAATTTGTGCATGGTACTTGCACGATTCAACCATTACTTGATAAGGAGGAAGTTTGTGGTGGAAACAGACCACATCACATGCTAAGCAGGTTGCAAGTGATGCCGCAATGACGGCTAAGTGGCACGCCGTTAGACTGTACAAAAATAACACAAAGACGAGAGGCCGTATCAGAACTGGAACGTGGCTAGGGAGGGGCAAACGTACGTTGTAGACACGCTGTCGATCTCATCATTCTCAAATATGAAAACAGAGGTGCACTTTTTCTCCTCCCTCTCCCCTTGTTTCACATAGTTTATCAGAAGGGAGAAGAGGAGGAGGAGAGAAGAAAACCTAAACTGCTCGATATTATTGGGCGCCATTACGAAGGCACGCACTAATGCCTTTGATAAAGCCTCCATGGCCACTAGCACCTCGCTGCACACAAAAAAGTTGTCGGGCTTTGGACACTGTCCCACACACATTTGCCAGTGCGCATCAGGGATGTTATTGAAGTCTTTTACCAGCTTTGGCATCTCATCTCTCGTAGGTGAGAAACGTTGGGGAAAAAGGGTGTAGCGCTATGCAAATAATTGGACTGAAATCACACCAAGAGCAAGAATTAACTGAGACTGCTGAAATAGGCGCAGTCAGTAACTCTACAATGCTACTGTTTGACAACTTGCCCCATAGGATTGGAACGCATGTGTGTGCTTCATGAGGAGGGCGGCTTAGAAGCACGTTTGCATGCTGTTCAATAATGGTGCGTGCAACTGCGCACCAGGTCCTAATTCTCGACTCTTTCCGACAGCCTATTTGATTAAACTGAAAATATGGTGGCGATTCTGTGTCAAGCGCCTTACTCTGAGTTCTAGCGTGATCTTCTTAATCCATGCCGGTGAGGTTCGATTGCTTTCAGGAGTAGGTTTGTAATCAGGATCTGGAAATAATGGAGATTGCTGAATTGTCAAGGAAGAGGCCACCACTAGGTACTTCGTGTGCACCATACCTCACTGTACTAGACATAGCCACGGAAAAGGTAGCCAAAGGGACTTGACTACTGTAGGGCTTGGAATAACGCACGGCAGAATATTGCATTGATTTTGTACCCCGAAAATTCCAAACGACAAGCACTAAGCATTTACTCTTAGTAAAACACTGACTTCATTCGTCTCCCCATCAGCAGTCTGCCCTCATCTAGCCAGCCAGCCTATGACCCCGATCTTTGCAGAGAATGCAGTGCAGATTGAAAGCCTAATTACGGTATGCCGCTCAACAACTGCAGCTTTGGCATATGAAGCATTACGCTCAGCCTTTGGAACGAACAGAATCACCGAATATTCCCCAATGTTTTAATTTTTGACGACTAGGGACCAAAAATTAGCAATTTTGGTGCGTGTATGACTAGAAAAGGTAAAGCCGTCGCCGATATACTCTAGTCCATCGACACGCTGCAAATTATGGACAGCTCAACTTTAATCGCCTACAAACGCCATACGCAGGAGCAAGACACGACAGATATGCATATGCAAAATGTCGACTCTGAAGCACAGTCTGCATGAAGTAAACTAGGAACCCTTACTGCCATCCTTGCCATGCACGTGTTTCAAACCCCTTTCAACTTGGACAGTATCCTATTCGCATATATACCACCAAGTCAAGCCTGTTACCACCGTATACTTCTTAAGTAGTAACTCAGTGTATTAGAAGTAAAGGCCTTTATGACAATGGCAAACAGCCAGCAACCATTTACAAGCACCCGGTCGCAATACTTGCCTAACGCACATGGAGTGCAGTGAAAATATGTGTAAAGTGAGTGCTGGCTTCACTCGCGTATTTCCCTTTTATATTGCACTCCTTTAAGGGCATTACCCCTAATGGCACCCATGAGACGTCCTTGTCAAAAGAGGCGAGTAACTTCAAGGCTTTATTGGCCACGTTCATGAGAAGAGGTTGGAGAAATTTGGCAGTCCAGGAATTATGCGGCGACGTCGCGGTAGCCACCACACCCTTCGCCTCCGTCTCGGCTGGGTATAGCGTGCCTGCAGGAGGAAACTATCGTCTTCCACTGGCTCATAATCTTGCATCACCTCTTCACTCGCCGAAATATGCGGCACGTTGATACTGCCTTCATCCAGTGCCGTCGGAGAATGGTCAGCTTCCAATTCGCGGACTGTGGTGGACCCAATAAGAGGAGGAAGGAGAGAAGAGACCAACAGGAGGAAAGTTGTCCCAGTTACTGAGCGCATTTTACAGGATGCAGTTGACAGCGGACTTGATGACGAAGTATAGCCTGTAAATCTAGCGCTGTCCCTTTATATACACCCACAAGTGGGTCAATGAAATGGTTTGTTTATCAGCGTGGGTGACTGCGCTTACGACTTCCAATGGCCGTCTCGAGCCTTCGTCAAAAAGGGTCCCACTGTTACCGCTTCCTCTTCCCATTAATTTCTACTCCGTATTTATGAAGAAGGGAGGCGCACCGCCGAAAGTAGCTGCGGCTCTTAAGGACTCTAAACGGGATAGACCTTATGAAGTGCTCTACATTTACTTTTTTGGTGCGCCATCGAACGGCACGTGTGGCGATGCATCTTATTACCGATCAAACATAACTTGTAACTTCGAACGTTCGTACTATTTCTCCTCCCTTTAACCCCTTTTAGGTGCATCCATCTCTACGTGCTGTCAGCGACGCGATCTTTGAGGCTCTTATGAACACTTCGGCAGTTGAACACACCTCGGAGACCTTAGCCTATTCCGTTTAACAAGAAGCTCTCGAATGTTCGTTTTCGTTGCCTCCCGTAACATGTGGATGCCTGTCAACTATGCAATATCGCATTGTACTTCTATGCGTTGAGGCAGAGCATGTGTAATTTCACACCGACATTTCCTTCCTCAATGTCTTTAATCCATCCGAAGACGTGATCCCTAATCACCCACTTAGGCCATTTTTTTGACTGACAGACAACAGCAACAACTAACCAGAAGTGATTGGATCAAATTCACATCAGCATAGTGTCTGCTAACGTGTCGGTAGAGACGTGTATATTCGTAATGCAGACACGGGATCAGCGATCACGTGACTTTCGGCTAAACGCATAAAGTTGTTTGCGAAGTGTAGCTACCGCCCCTCTATTACTGTGTGCGTGCAGCCAAGAGTGGTTACATGGGCTGTCACGACGTCAAGAGGTTGTAGCTGATGCGTGAGTGCCACACACACACCCACATTATTCTTTGGTACGAACGCGAAAATCGACTCTATCAATTTGTTATAATTTGCGAGGCTCAATCCCGTTCGCAATACCACTTTCGGGTAATAAACACAGTTGTCGAGTTCAGTTTTGCTGCAGTTTCTTCGTTAATGAAGCACAACACCACAGCATAATGTTCATCTGAGGAGCAGAATGGTATGCCTAGCACATGTTCACCTACCAACAGGAGGAAAGGGAAGACTAACACAAAGCAGTGCCTATAAAGGGCCTAGCTGGAGGTGCGCAAAGCACGTTCTCGAAACCACCGTCAGTCGTTCATTCTCATACAATACGGTCATTGTTCATGGTTATTCTACTCCTCCTTCTTCCTGCACTCACCTCTCACTACGTTCTAACCGCCGCTGTGGGGAATGACGAGGTAGCTTTGACGACATATATGGACCCCTCCATTGTGAGTGACGTCGAAGGAGTCGAGGATGCGGGCGAGAGCGAGGCATCTGACGAAGGCAGTAGTGAAAATGAGACGAAGGATGTCTTCATGCAGGTCAGGTGGAGAGGCTCTTTTAGAAAAGCGTAAACATATGACAGGCGACATAAAGCGATAATTTGCAAACCATCTTTTGGCATTCGTCGACCTCGCAAACAGTACATTACTGTCTGAATGCAAGCCGACGCAACCGATAGTGTGTGAACTAATGCACATTCTACTCCACTTTGATTCTGCTGTGTTCTCAAACACTCCTCTTCTTTCACAAATAAAGCTAGCACAGGCTGCTGCACCACAGCCTCATTCAGCATTTTGCCTATTGAGATTGCAAATAGAATTAGTAGATGCGGTTTTTGCTTGTCTCCTGGGTACCCAGGTCGACAGAGTGAGAGTTGGATTCATCTATGGTGCGGCTGTACGATCCTTTAGGTAGAACATAATGGAATTCGTGAGTAGAATTAAAACTTTTCCAGGTATTGTCTTGCATGGAATGAGGTGGAGGAGGAGGAATGCTAGATGGACAATTGACCTCTGACTCTTCACAAATATCCCTTGTTAGGAGCACTGTGACCGTGCTTCCCTGAGTATTTTGTCTGCCGAGAACAGACCATCGCCTTTGGAATTTAAAATGGGATTTGTCTTCCCCTTCAAGAGAAAGTCAAGTGAGCTTATTTTTGTGTCGCTCACCAATATTTAGTTTGAACTCATGGATTACACAATTTCCAAAGTTAATTCTACACTATGCTTCTCTCGCTAAACAAGCTCAAGAAGATGGAAGAGAATGTTTGTCTGATCTTTACCTTATTTCCTACGACTCAATTTACACAGTGCTGTTAATCTGCGCATAGATATGCGCAAATTATGCCCTGTCACTGATCGGCTCCCGAATCAGGTGGAATCACATAGTGATAAAAGGGTGTGAATAATCTCTTTGTAGGACATCTAGCATCTATGGTTTGATGTCGCACACTATCAAGCGAAAATATCAAACATGACGCAGACAAGCTCCGGTGAGGATCAGCCTTCTTAGAGGATAGCTAAAAACGTGGTCATAGGATAAGATAGGAGGCACAATTGGTACAGCTAATGAACTGGTGTTTTGTTGCCAAATGTCCTAATCACGAGTCCGGTTAAATAACAAACATCCCATCCATTGGTTATCATGGTATGCAAGGACACGGTCCTCGTTCCTTTGCAAGATTTGATCCTTCAGCAGCAGCTAGCACTGGCTGCAAAGCCATCAACTCTTTCATTAGAAACGAAATCTCGCGGAGGTTGGGACACGGTATACTAGATGTATAGTGAGTTAAGTAAATGGCACCACATCTGTCCAGGAAAACGTATCGATTCCCACTACTGATGTTTTCGCTGACCCCAAGTCAAAGAGTTTAACGAAGTCAACAAACCATAATGGAGTGCATAACTGGCGCCAAAGGGTTGCCAAAACCATCGAAATAGCATGAGGCTTGCGCAGGCAACAGCTGCATAAGGAATGTCGGAATGCTGAGTTATGGAAGGAGGGTAAAAAGTCCACCTTTATGCTGCGCAACCAAGTGAGTAAAGCTCTCATAACTCAAAAGCAAAGTTTGGTATCTCACACTCAGAAGTGGTTCATTAAGCCCGGACGCAGAAACCCCATTGTTACGATAACACCGAGCTCATGAACCAAGCAAATGCATTCAGGAGACGACTTTTAACAATAGCCTTAGTACGCATAATGCATGTGTAATGCACATAAACGGAGTCGCTTCAGAGCATTGCCGATGGGAAGAGTATGTTGGCAATTTTACTCACGCAGACAACTTCCTGAGGTGCTCACGATGCATCCGATTAGCAATTACTGGTCTCCGAATCAGTTGAGACCTAAGCACCGAATCACTCACATTCCAAGCGAATAGCAGGCTCCCAGATCGCTAGTGCCTCCTACAGGTGCATGTGTTAGGTGGCTCTTTGATAGAGAAATTAGTTGTTGCGCGATAGCTTTTCAACGTCGAAAAATTGCAACTGTGAAGCAAGCTGCAGATTCTGACTTCCGACTAGCTTTGCATCTTGGTGCATTTAGCCTCTCTCATTCTAAGGAACAGATAATCCAAACCGAAGGCCGCATTAGGGGTTGAAGGAAATGGCATTTAGAGACCATTTTATTTTTGTTCTACTTATCCAGGTAAGCATTAGAACTTGCATCAGCCGGGTCTTAAAACGGCATGAACAAGAAGAGGCTAGCAGACCGACCAGCAGGTATAGACAGTTCCGCCTAATCCGTAGAGAGCTGTTGTTATCGAAGCTGGTGCATGGGTGAAAAATGTGGCAACTACTGAAATGGACGTTGATCTGATGGCTGTGAAGCTTCCCGTTATGTTAGAGCTTAAGCGGTCGTAGAGTACGTAGCGTATGGGAGAGACGACTTGCTAATTAGGCTCACCGAGTTTTGGGTGGAGGTAAAAGTGTTTAGGGAACCGCTTTTGGGGCATAAGCACCCTGCTTCTGCCCACGTTGCTTTGGGAAAAATTAAACCAGATAGGTGATCAGATGTTCAAAATCCTTAGCTAGAATGCAATTTTGGTGTTGTTTTGCACCTGCAACTAAAAACTAAGTGCCGATTCATTGAAGCTTGTCTAAATGGTGGGAATCGCTGGCAGCAAACAGAAAGTTGAGGAGAGAGATGTCAATCGGTTAGAACATCAAATCAACCAGCTAACAATGGCAAGGTACTAATAGAGGCAAAACTTTTATTTGGCCAACACACATTCAGTTTTGAAATGATTCTGACGGTGCTGATCAGTATTGACGCCCGTTTTGTAGGTTCTTTTGCTACATGCACATTACCTCCGTCCTCACAGGATAATTATTCTGGCGTCTCTAGTTGTCAAGTGCATTTGTTGTCAACGTTAGCGTCAAATGCAGAGATGGTGTGTGGGTTAATGCAGACAATAAAATATTGTCCTCTCGTTGGATGTAACAAACAAGACGATTTCGGTTTTGCGCACTCAAACCACAACTTCGTCAGTCCTAGGATGATTGCAATTTAAAGTGCGGAGTTAAAACTGATTAAGGCCTACACAAAATATTTTGGTGCTCTCCTTCTCCTTGCAGTCAGATATTGACAAACAGGCTGCTGCTTCTGGCAACCCCAACCAGTTGGGTCTTCACTCAAAGAAATTGCTTCCCAGGTTAAATAGTTCGTTCTCAATACCACATTTGACAACAATGATTTCAGTCGATTCGTGTCCTGCTCCCACAAGTACCTGCTTTGCTCTAGTTTTTGAATGCCCTCCTTTGATATTTTATGAAGCTACTCGAGCTAGCTCCTTTGCGTTCATTCCGCTTTCATTCATTGGCACCATCCAAAGCCAAGTTCCTCTTCTCCCACCACATTCTCAACTCAAACCGTTCTTCAAAATGTCATTTTAATGCGTTCATTTTACATTTAATACTCATATATACTTCGAACTGTTCGCTTGGGCATTATCCTTCCAACATATTTTAGCCTCACTTCTTACTACAGGCAGGATAAAGTGCCGCCTGGACGCTCCAACTGCCCTGCACAATT